TATATATATATATAATTTATCCTAGAGCCTTACTAATTCTAAACAATACCAGGGGCTAAAGAGACGGCTCAGTAGTTAAGAGCACTGGCTGCTCTTGCAAAGGACCCAGGTTCAGTTCCAAGTACTCACATGGCAACTAACAACTGTCAGTAACTCCAGTTCCAGGGGATGTGATGCCCTCTTCTGACCTTCATGGGCATCGCATGATACAGGTGCACTTACATACGTGTAGGCAAAACATAAAAATAATAAAAAAAATTTCTTTTTTACTTTTTTAAAATATTTCATTTTATGAGTGTATTGCCTGCATGTAGGTAAATGCACCCATGTCATGCAACGCCCGTGGAGGACGGAAGAGGTTCTCGGATCCCCTGGAACTGGAGTTACAGACAGTTGTTAGCTGCCATGTGGGTTCTGGGATTCGAACCTGGGTCTTCTGCAGGAAGAGTCAGTGTTCTTAACTGCTGAGCCATCTCTCCAGCCCCATTTCTTAAATTTAAAAACAAAACAAAACAATGCCAGGCATGATGGCACACACCTTTAATCCCAGCCCTCTGGAGGCAGAGGCAGGCAGATCATTGGGAGATCAAGGCCACCCTGCTCCACATTGTGACTTCCAGGTGGGCTGAGACTAGGGAGACCCTGTCAAAGTAAATAAATAAATAAATAATAAATAAATAAATATTAACATAAAACCAATTCCAAACAACATGACTCATAGTCATGCTCACAGAAACTGTGCCAGAATGTTAGAACCTTCATGACCTGCATTCCACTCACACCTACTCCCTGTCTCTCTTCTCCAAGCCCCTGAGTAGCCTTCTCAATGTATCTATTGCTTCTTGATTTTATTTTTTCTGTTTCCCTGTCTGTTCCTCTTTGGTTGCTGAAATCCTTGAGCCCTTTGTCCCTGCCTTTTTCTTACTCTCTCACTTCTTGCTTCTTTCGTTTAGGGGCCATAGATGTAAAAGACCAACTTAAAGTGTATATTTCTGTTTCTCTATAAGTGCATTTGCAATTTTTTTCTACTATTCTACTCATACAGATAGAAATAGCTCGCTGCTCTGCCTCTTCCCACCGCCACTGCATTTCCTTTTATTGATTGTAGTATGCATGCATGTTATTGCCATGTAAAGCTCTTATAAAACATTCTTGAGTGAATAAAATTAAAAGCTGTCTCTACTTACTGCGATGCATCCATACATTTAGGGGATGGTCACTGTCTAGCAAAAGGCTAAAGATGCAGGAAAAGGAAGATAAAAGTGGAATGTGGAAGATAACTTAGAGGTGGGATAGAATGGTGTTAAGGACTCCAGATGGTTAGAGCACAAAACCTTGAACTGGTCATTATAATAATTGAGAGCAAAGTACAAATGCAGTGCCATGAGTTCTGTTATGGTGTGACGGTGTTCATTATTACTTTTGATGAACCCTTGGTTTGTTCCAGCCCTGCTAAAACATTAAATTTTAAGCTAGATATATATCATTTAATAATTTGAAAACAAATGTATTGTTTCATTTTTAAGTCATATTCAAATAATGTTCCCCACTTCTTTTTTCCAGAGTGAACCCCTTTTTTTCCCTGAGCCAGTGTATGTCCGAACAGGCCTGGAAATAGAACCTCTTTATCCAAACTCCAAGGAAAATACTGTGGTTTATCTAGCTGAAGACGGTGGACATATACTGCAACCATTGCTGTAAAATATAATTTGGTACCTGGTTTACTGTTTTAGTTATACTTGTTTTGCTACCTGTACTGGGAATTTCAAATTACTAAGAAGCTCCTGTTGACCTAAAATGTTTTGTTACATATTATTTCAAATGTTGATTTACTGCTCGCTACATTTTTGATCTTGCAGATTATAGTATTATTTTAAAATATATTTTAGTCCATTAAAATGGAATGTTCTATTTCGAATGAATTACATTTTGTATAAGTTTTCAAAGATAAATCTAGTGGTGTTATCTGCTATTACTGTTCCTTCTCCATCTGCAGTTCACATTCGTAGAATCGTTCAGATGATTTTCTTTTCATTTTGTGCCTTTTGGGGCTGTATATCTCACATTTCAAAGAACATTCAAGATTATATTTCAGGAAAGTGTTATTACACAAGATCAATATTGGTACTTTAAAAATGGTATTATTAAGGGAGAAAGAGGGGAAATGGGGGCACCTTAATTAGGGAAGCCATGATGGAGGGGTGAGAAAATGTGAGAGATAAACAATGCCTAGCTAGTTTTGAAAACCAGAGGGAACCATATTAGTCCTACAACCTACTGACAAATTATCCATAGCAGATCAAGAAATATATGTCTAAGTAAGGTTTATCTGAGAACAAATGGTCTTTGCCCAAGATTTATCTACATGACACACAGTAATTAAAAATACCAGACTGGTGGAATTAACCTTCTTGGGTATTTAACAGACATACTTTAAGGCCTATAATAATTTGGTCAGAGGGTCATAGAGGACACTTTTTGCTCCTTGCTCTCCTAGGTCGACTAGTTCCAGGAGACTATGAGCATCTCTCAAAATGTCCTATATTGGAGTGAGCATCTCTCAAAATGTCCTATAATGGTGGTGGGTCACCTGTCCTCTTGATCAAGGAGGCCAAGGAGACCCCTCCAGATGGACTTGAACCAGTGTCCAGTCTACAAAGAGGAGGGTCAACACAGAGGAATCATTTCCTCCATGCTTTCAAGTGAAGTCAACCTTGGTCGAGTAGGACCTTTGACTTATCTTCACATAGGCGGAACTGGTAAAAGAAAGGAGCCAGGGGCTCCTCCCAAGCCCATGTCCCTTGAGGAACAGATCCTCAAACAACCTTAAGAGTAAAAATAAATTAGTTTATCTGGACCAACTACATGGCCTTAAACACCCAAAAGGAAAGTATAACCAAAGATTAAAGGGG